ATCATTTGCCCAGAAAAGGTGACCGGCCCGCCCCACAAAGGGAGGAGATGACCATCTGACCTCTGGTCAGCGACAAGGTTTGTTAATGTGTTTACGTGAAGAACATTATACGTTTTTTTGTAAAAATAAGTAAAATATACAGAAAAACTATTAGTTTTAACAATCCAAATCACAATTTGATCACAGCTACAATTGTGTCTCCTAGTGCCAATGTCCAGGCACTCTCCTAAGCCTGCTGAATTAATCCATCTCTGGAGGCAGTTCAGTACCTTCGCATTTGTTCTCATCGGACTTGTCCTGGCAGTTGATCTCTCCATTGCAGCGCATGATGATATCGACGCACTGCCGGCTATCGCACTGGAACTGTGTGTCTGAGCAGACGGGGCAGTCCTCCTCATCGCTGCCATCATCGCACTCTGGGTAGCCATCACAGCGCCAAGCCTGGGGGATACAGTCCACGTCCCCCGAAGAGCAAGAGAACTGCTCCGGAGAGCAGGTCGGAGGCTCTGAACGAGAAAATTTCCTGTCACAACCCTTTGAAATTCCCTTACACAATTCCCAATTATATTAAGATGCATGATTTTTAAAGTTCTCTTTTAATTCTCCAACCTGAGCTTGTTCTTAGAAGGAAAAATTGTTACAAAGAAAGTTGAAAACAATATCCAAAGAAATAAACGTTACCAGTGCTTGTACTCACTGTTAAGATGTTAAAGCTATACAAATGCTCTAGGAATAAGTTCTAGTATTGAAGCCTTCCTGATATAACTTCAATATAGAAGTTTTCCAACATTTCAGGAATTTTAGGCAATTCCATAAAGCCCATAAATCCACAAACTACACGACTCTTTTTAATAGTTATTTTTACAATGCATTAGGGTCACATATAAAAGGTCACCAGTGCCAGTAGTGAAAATTTTAGAGAAAAAAAACACAAACCCCTGCTTCTACCCACTAGCACCCTGAATCAAATCAGTCGGGCTGAAATATTTTACCTCCACAGGAGAGTTCGTCTGGCAGCAGTACCAGATGAACAGGGCAAGAACACCGTGTGGTACCATCACCTTTCACAATGCAGATATGTGAGCAGCCACCATTTTCCAAAGTACAAGGATGCTTCCCTAAAATGAAAAAACATTAACTCAAATCACTGCTCCTGGAAAGACTGAACTTAAAGGGAACTGGAAAGCTCTGAAACTTGGCTCTGAAAGTAAAGCTCAGTCACTCATCTCAGCAAAGACAACCAATTTTGAAAACCACAGACTTCATGGCTGCTAAAAAATTGAATAAGCATAAAATACTGTACCAAATGACCTATCCCTCGAAAGATTATGGTCAAACTGGATTTTCTTTTCAGGGCACAGAATAACTATTTTCTCAAGAGGCAGAGCAAAGTGACCATTTCAGCATCCTCAGATGTACGGTAGTGTAGCACAGGCAGGTCTCTGGTCACCCATCCTTAGGAAGCTTGCCACCTCCCCTGGCGTGCAGGTGCTTACTGTATTCCCTCATGTCCAGCTCGCTGACTGCGTGGATGTCACTCAGAGAGGCAATGCGAGCCTGGATCTTGGTGCGGCCTTCTCGGGTGACCTTGTCAATCCTCTCTATCATCTGCTGCTGCCGGTCGATCCAGTAGAGGTGGTTTCCAAAGACTGTCAAACCTACGGGCTGCAGGATATTCGAGTCCTCAATCACAATCCGATCAGCACCTGGAAGCATCAAACAAAAGGACAGAAAAACTGTAAGGGTTGAACATCTGATGAGCATTTATATGGATAGTTTTCTAAATGGCAGTATCACTAACTTAGTAAATACAGCTGCATACTTCCTGTTGATTTATTACAGTATTTAATACGAATGCAAACATCAATGTATATGTGGGCTGATTAGTTTTGGAGAAAGTAAAAAAAATCATCATTGAAGTTCTTCGTATATTTGCCCGCTGCTAAAAGTTTCTCTGGCACAAAATGTCAAATGAAATGGGAGTAAAACCTCAAGGAAAAAAAACTGATCAGCAAATTAAAAGTAGATTCTCAGCTATATTTTGATTTGTGGAAAAAAACAGGTATTGAATATCTTAAAAATAATTAGTACAGATCAGTAGTACAGTGTATTAAATTTCCAAATAAAGTGCGTTTTCTCTTTTATACAAAGTACTGTTTCTTAGTTGTAGAAAATGGTGGAGGCATATGGCATCTGTCACCATACACTGGGCAAACTCGTAATCACAGGGTGTGAGTTTATCACCAGTGAAGGCAGACAGACCCAAATGAAACAGCTTTCCTGAACTAAAAGTGTTCTCCATGTCAAGCAACGACATGCCACATCCTCCCTGCTGCTATTTACAGTGCTGCGGAACATAAACATATGCCGTATTTAAAAGAGGCTAATGACAGCCGCTCACATCACAGACTTCAATCTAATTTTAGCTGAAATGGGATCATGAGCCAATATCCTGTGGTTAATTGGGAAACTACTTTATTTGTGGTCCAATGCATTACCACATGAACTGCACTGATCTGTATGGATTCTGAGTTCTAATAGTTTAAGCGCTCTGTTTGTTTTACACAGAAGGCCCCCTGCTCCTATTGAGATGGTTCGAATTCCTTTCAGAGTAAGTAGAGCACTGGAGAACCACTAGAATATGCAGAAGAGGTTTTCTAGTAAGACATAAATGGAGCTGGTTTATTGGGTGTACTTCAAAACCCATGCCTTTTATAGACTAATGCGTTCTCTTTTTTTCATGATGTCTTGAATTTCCTGCATTTCCCAATTAAATACTGAAAGTAATCTAAACACCCGTGTTCAGAATTTGTTTTTAGAGGAAAAAAAACGTTCTATAGGAGAATGTATAGCAAATTTGTTTTGGGCAACTAATGTTTTGAGCATTTAAACCATTATAATAAACAATCTGGTTATCTGATACACAAACACAATTTGGAGCAGTTTTGCTTTTCACTTTACACTGAGACGTTCAGAACTTTTCAAAGCTCAAACAAAATGTTCCTTGAATTTAAGAATTAAAAAAAATAAAGGGAAATGTTTTACTTAAGTCTCAGACATCAAGCAAGTACAATTGCATTACAAAAACATTTGCAGTCTTATTATACCATGCATACACTGGTATAATTACTATTACAGTTTTAGACTTAAATATTCAAAAACCACTAATGTATCTGTGTAAATATGAATGCAATATTCATAAGTCTAATTACGTATAGCAAACGGTGATGTTATTTACTGACTAGAAAATGTCACCATCCATAAAAAACCGACCCAAGTATTTAAATAATAAGTTTACTTATTTATATAACATTAGCATAATTAGAACAAGAGGGTCAAATGTACGTTTAGATTTTCAGAAAGTTTAAGTATTAGACAATCAAACTCATGCATGGCCATTGAATTGAAAACCGATTTAACGAACAGAAAAGAGTACAAATAAGGGGTGAATGCTCAAATTGGGGTGATGAGTACCACAGGGTTCTTTATTAAGATCACTGCTGAGATTAAATTGTATTAACTAGATTCTGGTATAGTCAAAAAGGAGGATTAACACTGGATCTGAAGCTTCAAAGGAAATTCAGTAAGATTTACACAATTCCAAAATACTTTGTGGGTAACAATTACTGTAGAGAAGTGCAGAGTTCTGTGCAGAGAGTATAAAAATTCTAATTGGGAAACATTAAACAAAGAATAAACCTATGAAAGGCCTAAGCCATTCATTTGTAGGGTGGGGAAGCAACAAGAAAGGCATAATGTTAGTATACATATTTTAAATGTTATGCCTAAATGTCCAGCATGCTACCAAAACATCTTTAGAATACCGTGTGCAAATATGGTCACCAAACACCTTATTGGTGTTACATGATTTGATTTTTCTAATCCTCCACTGACAGTTTAAGCAAAATTAATCTTTTTAGTCCTGAAAGGAACACCCTTGCTTCAGGCCCCCTTATTTAAGTACGGAAAATCCAAAAAAAGCATTATAAAAGAGAAACTATTGGATCTTATGGGGTTTGCGTCCTTTGAAATCCAAGTCCTAGAGTAATCCTTTAGTCAATCACTCTCAGTGCATGGAGTGTACTCTACAATGGTAGACAAATGAGTTAGCTTTATATAATCATGAAATTGACAGATAACCCGATTTGTCCTGATATGTATAGAATGTGCAACCAATTCAAACCACTGCTGAAAGAGTGATTGGAGTATACTTCAGAAAGACTTTAAATATAAAATGGTGCCTACTTGACACCTAAATTAGTAGGATGCAAAGCTGAATAAGTGGAAAAATGAGACATTTCCAACTTGCAACTCGAAGGTTAAGAAAATCCTCCACATCCATAGCTTTATCGCACTACATATAGACAAAGTATGGGAGACCACAAATGCGTGATTGAGTACTCAAGCAATCTGTTCAGAAAATCTAAAACTCTACTTTCGTGCCCGTTTCAGAATATTTCACTAACTCTGGGTTCAAGCCCTTAAACTTGCAAACAACTGACAGAGCCAACTAGAGTCCGGGAGGCTACAGACCAGAGACAATGTGCCTCATGACTGTTTTGCAGAACATTCAGAGAGAGTTTCTGTATTAGAGTAAAATCCAAGTTCAGAACATGCACAGTTTTCTGAAGTTTCATCAGACACTGCGAGGGAATTAATTACCAAGTAACTCCATAGGGTTTCTTTGTTTTTGTTAAACATCGAACAACTTACCTAGAAACTTGCTTGGGCAGGTGGTTGGTCAAATTTTCCATGAAAAGCAGTACAAACAAAAACAAAAGCAGGGATATTGTTTTTGGTCATAGGACCACCTTAATTGTCTGGTCCAATGGTGCTCCTTTACCCTGGAACAACCGTGCAGATCTCATGGACGTACCTGATAGGTCACTGCTCTCGATGCGGCGTAGGTCTGAGTCCACCCAGAACAGCTTGCCCAGTTCATTGTCTATGGCTAAGGCAACCGGCTTCCCTAGACCAGTGAAGAACAACACCTCCCTTTCAGTCCCATCCAAGGCTGCACGTTCAATTCTTGGGGACCTGTCTTGCAGGTTTGTGAAGTACATGTACCTGACAAAATCGAAAGCAAGAAACACTGTTAAGAAATTACAAGAAATCCACGGGTAAAGGTTTATTCCATGTTTATAAATGTCAATGTTAGAAAGGTTCAAAGAGGTATTACGTTTTAATATGTAACATTGTCTAATTGTACTGCAGGGAATTTTAGACCTACAGCTTGACAAACTGAGTGAGAAATAACATTCTCAATAAGAAGAATCATTTACTACACAGATGTCAAAGGGAAAGAAAAGACATGCACCAGGATGGAGTTCATTTACAATTACACACTATGTAACAATGAATTTCAAACAACAGCTGCTGGAACATTTGAGTTGTGTGTGAAATGAGCGGCTCAGTGTGGGCATATAAAAGACTACAGGCTTGGCTAGCAGAAATAAACCTACCCTCTTTCTGGGTTGACAACGATGGCCCTGGGCCTGTCTTGTTCGCCACGCAGAACCACGCCCACCCTCCGCCCATCCGTGCGGGTAACATTGATGACATTGGTGATCTCATTGGTCCAGTAGATGAAACGGCTATAAATGTCAATGCTTAAGTCGTGGGGCTGCATGCCAAGACCGTGACTGGTCACTGCGCTGGACACGACTGTCATACTCTGAGAAGAGAAAGAACCCATAAATTATATAGGACGACATTTCAGCTAAAAGCAAGTGAATGCATGAAGAAACGGCTTCAGACACTTTCATCAGAATGTTGAAGCACATGTAACATCTTGCAAGACAAGTCACAAAGCTCACTAACTGGCTATACCTGGTTACCATCTTCCTGCGCTCTCCGAATGACATTCTGCTTGGAATCTATCCAGTAAAGATGTTTGTCCAGAGGATCATAATCGATGGCTCGCACGTTGCGTAGACTGTGGATGGGCAGGATAATGTCAGGACTTTGCTGTTCATCTATCACCATCCGATTGATAGCAGTTTTCTGGCTGAAGAGGAGGAACGATGTAGGGGCTAGAAGAACAATGGACAGAAACCGTGAGTGGTTTCTAAAGGAATGGAGTGCAGGCACTGCAAAAATAAGGATGGCAACAAGATCGTGATGAGATGAAGCTGTATCGCTACAAAAAACAAAGACCTTAGGGGCATACAGAACCACAGAGACCAAAGTTAACCTCACCAATGTCAACATGCAACCAACAGAAAAACACATTACACTTATGTGATAAAACCATCTATTTGATTTATGAAAAGTACTTTTGCCTTTATTAATTCTTTTCATAGAGGGGCAGTATTTCACTTTCTTCAAAATGTATAGCCCACTACAAACTCAATAGTACACATACTTACAAACACATGCTATAAACTCCAGAAGAAGTCTCTAAATAATTTAAAATGTATTTTCACAGAGTCAAATATGGAGATGGATCTAGTTATGTTTAAACTCAGCTTCATTTTTTTCAACTCTTGCCAAGTTGGCAAAAACTGTAGAAACCACACTGGCTTATGAAGAAAAAAATGAAGTCTGTCTTCTCATTTAAATGAAAAACAGTCACTCTGTTCCTATTATATAAAAGTAGATATAAACAGCAGCATATTTACACAGTAAAATGAAAATATTTACTTAAAGTAGTCAATTAAATCTACATAGAAAAGCCAAGAAATACCCACATATTCAGGTAAAAAAAATCTAGATAATTAAAAATGTTTACAGTCTTGCTGAACAAAATGGAAAAGATGTTAAAAAGCAAAGAAACCGAATGACTAAAACTAATTTAAAACATATAGTGGCTATTGTATTAAGACTTTTACCTAATCTGACTTGACAGTGCCCTTAAGTGAAGACTGATTCCCGCAGTACTATGAGAACAGAAAAATAGCGGCCAACATACTACACGCAACAAGATCACTGGACCTGCCACAACTTTGTGACCAATGGTAGAAAAATGGTTTGAGCTGTCAAGACTGAGTTTGCTAAGCTCCTTATGAAACCCTCATGTGGTACATGTCCACAAAGGACTATGTCCAAACTACATCAGTCATGAGCTATATAGTAACCCAGCGCACAAAGATTTTCCAGTGCATAGAGTTCCACCATGTACAACCCTGCAGCACTAAGACAGCACCGGCATCATGCTTATATTGAAATGGTTTTGGAAAGCCTCTCACACCACACAGGCAACAAGCACCAGCTCTCCATCAAAAGATAAGGGTCCTGGACTTGGCTGGCAGTCTCCGTGGGTCCATACACACAATAAGGCTAAGAAATGCTCGCTTTCAGTGGCTACTGTATGGAGCAGTAGATGGAAAAGCATTAACAGCTACAAAGAGCTCGCTCACCGCTGCAGGTCTTGTTGTCAGAATTAAGGGAGTAGTGAGCCGGGCAGCCGCAGACAAAGCTACTGACTGGCACAGCCAGGCAGAGGTGGGAACAGTGCCCGTTGGTGGAGGCACAGGCGTTCCAGCCGCCCTGCCGGGAGGAGTGAAACACCAGGATGTCCATGACATAGTCCAGGTGGCCCTGGATGATGGTGCGGTTCTGCCCACTGGTCTTGTTGGCTCTCTCAATGCTGCGCTGGCTCCAGTCAGTCCAGTAGATGTAGTCCTGGTACTGTGTCAGGCCGAACGGATGGGGCAGGTCGTCTGCAATGACCTCGCGCTCCTGGCCTGCACCATTTAAAAGATACGGAAAAGGACAGCACACGCAGAAAGGAAGAAAAAAACACATTAGCCAGCTGGATGGCACATGGTCTATTTTAGGCACAAATGATATACTTAAGCCAATGCTATTTTTTAACTTTAAATTGCTACTTCTTGCAAACAGGGACATATTCTTAGAATTAGAGTAATAGTAGTATCATTTTTAGGCCTTTCATAGCTGGACTCAATCCTAGTTAAAATTACGCTGCAAAAATGCTTTACAGGAGAAATCTTATGCCACATTTAAGTGAAAAAAAGCTTTTTGTTTAAACGAGGCATTTAACAGTTTTAAAGGACACCAAATATCATGGCGCTGTGGGATTGAAACTAAATTTAAACATTATATCTTTTTTGTAACTAGATATCTTAATTACACACAGGCAACTTTTAGAGGCAAAGAACTACTTATGCAGCTGTATGAGAAATTTGAAAATCCTCAGTTATTTTGACATATTGCAGTAATAAGGAAAATACAGGAAAACACTGCAAAGTATGGAAGACAAGATTGTGTGTTAGGTGGAGTTCAGTACCAAGTAAATTACTTGTGTATGGTTTGATATTGATTGGTTGGAAAAGACTCTTAAGAACTGCCTTGCTCTATATGGGTAGTTCACATTCTCAGTATATGTATTTAAATGACTAAATTTGTTTGGAGTATCTCCAACTGTCCCTGAAGACTCCTGTGATAAAAAAAAGTCTGAGAAAATATCAATGAGAATAAGAGAAAAACACTCACCAAGCATGTTGGAGGATTCAATGAGTGTGGTGTCCAGGTCAGTCCAGTAAAGTCTTCGTTCGGCGTAGTCAATGGTCAGGCCATTTGCTCGTCCTACATTTGGCACAAGAGTGATGCGTCCAGTTCCATCCATCGCCGCTCGGTCAATTTTGGGTTTTCCACCCCACTCTGTCCAATACATAAAACTGGAAAGACAAAAGAAAGTCATTGCAAGACCACACACTAAAAAGACTACAAAGATAAAGGCCAACTCGCGCAGGCCACTGGGAGCAGATGAGCTTGCTATGAACCAATTACTTCAGCTTTTGGAGACTAGAAAAGAAATGCTGTTGACTCATATCACCTCAAGTTGTCAGTTGTTTAGATAACAAATGTCACTGATGTCATCTTGTTGGGCAATCAGGAGAGGATAAGAGGAATAATTTAGAAGTTAAAAAGTCTACAAATTTGTGAATATAGTTATTCAACTCAGATTTCCACAAAGAGCTAAACAATGTTTTTTTAATGTTTCCAATATTTAGTATGATATGAAATCCAGACAATGTCTCATTCTGAGAATTATACATTAGGACAGAGTACAAATACTGTTCTATGGTGCCATACGAAAAGAGCTCTGCCAAACTGGGGATAATTTAGCCAAGCCTGCCAATACAGACTGTGAAAAGATCGACGTTCCTTACACCTCAAAGTTTAAACTTTTAAAATGAGAAAAGACGAAAGAATTAGAGAGCCAAGAGGTTCCCTTTTCCCCATCTGGATACGTCTATAGAAATATCAATTGTAAATTGATACAGAGGAATATAGCAAGTTAAAGCTTCATAAATTACCTACCTAATGTTTCACTCTCACAGCAGCACCAGTTTAACACATGAAGTAATTTCAGTCATTTAAGAAATGTTATGCTTAAATACAGGAATTGAGGCTTTTTCTGGCTACCATTAACTCATTTTAAGTTCTCGGCGAAAAATGTGACTTGCAGACCCATCACCACCATACCTAAATATATTTGGCTAATGCTTTCAGCCAGAGACTTACATTGGCACCCATTTATAAGGCCACGTATGTGACTAGAACTATTCTGATAAAGTAGTCACTGCTGAGACTAGGGCCCTATCCACTGCTCCAGTGAAACAGAACTAATACTGCCTTCAGAAATTTCGTTACCTCTCATAACTGGGTAATAAACCTAACCCAATTTCAGAATATACAGATCAATAAGTCACTTTATTACATGGAAGGAAAAGAACATTTGTATTAAAGGATCATGAGTTGCAATAGTACTTAAAGGAATATCCTACCCTGACAGGATAAAAGAAGAGGTTTGTTTAAGTATTCAAAATCCTAAAAAGGTAAGTTACTTTTAAACAAAGAACAGGACATACTAATCTACACAAAGGATAGCCGGAGTATGGAGCAAGGTAGCTTCCCCTGTTGAGGAAGCTAATGTCCTGGCTTCCTTCACAAAATGTCTGCTCAGAATCCTCTCACCTCTTCACAAAGAGCACCCACATGAACTCATTTGCAAACTAAGTTCTTTTGTAATTAAAATAGATGAAGGAATGAAACAAAGAAAATGGCCAGCCATCATTAGAATGTCAATTACTTCATACTAATGCTACCCATAGTATATCTATGCATTCACTGTATCAATTCCTGATTTTGCACTCTGAAGAGTTTTGTTGCTACTTAATGAAATAAAAGGCTTCTATGAACTTCTGTTCTGTTAGGTATAAGGTAACCGTTTGCTCTACCTAATAGTAATATCCTGCATCCTTACCTTTATTTAAGCTGATTTTAGGAAAATGGGCATAGAGTTCCTCAACTTTAAACATTTTTACATTTGCGAGCCAAAGCAATTGCTTTCATACTAGGTGAATTATGTAAAACATCAAACCAATGCAATATCCCAATCTTAACGCACTTTCAATACGCAATTTACACTTTTAAACTGCAAAATGCAAAACATTTTTCATTCCTAATTATGCCTTGTTAACCAATAAAGTAATGAGTGCAGTATGAAAAGTTGAGATATGTCAGTGATAACTGATAGCTCTCCTGTCCCCTCTATTGCTTCCTGACAAAAACAAGAAACCACACATGGTAGAAGACGTGCTTGAGTTTATACATGGACACAAAAGACGACTGGTTTGCAGGTTTTAACCATACTCCAATGATGCCACGCAACGAGGAAACAGTCAAAGAATATTGCTGACAGGAAAATTGCATTGCAAAATCTAATGCAGGGGTGTCAAGCGTCTGGCCCGCCAAGCCCATTTGTTTAGCCCATGTAGCAATTGCGGTCAGAGCCATCGGCGGGGATTCAATTCACGCTCTGAGCCCTAAGAGCCCACACACGAAGGAGGCACCCTTTGTGACGTTACAGTAAGTCTCGCATACAGAAATCCCTGTGGTTCTCTGCCTTTACCCAACCACTAGTCCGACATGAGCGCACATTGGCACAAAAACACCAAGGATAAATGGTCATTGCAAGACCAGTACAGACACCTCCTCCAAAACTCTCTTCAAAAGAGAGGGAGAAATTCAAATTTATTTGCAGAAGTGAATGAAAAGCCAACATATTCCTTCATTTCTACAGCAGGAAGCTGTTGTCAAGAAGTAATATTAGATTAGGATTTAAGTTTTTGCTGATTTTACATGTGGTATCTGGCAAACAGTGTTTTACATTTTTAGTGTTTATTTCTTTTTGTCATGAGACACATCTTTAACCTTACCTAGGGTAATCTTGAGGAACACAATCGAACGGTCAAACATAACACTGCCAACCTGTGACATGAGCTTGAGAAAACAGGCCTCAGTGTCAAGCACTGGCAAATGACACTGGCACTGAAATAAGGTATAGTGATGCATCACCACACCTGTAACACTCACCCTTCTGCTGGGTCCAACGCCAGAGCCCTAGGGCTATCCAAGTCCTTCCACACCAGGACCTGCCGGTGCTGCCCATCCAGCTTGGCTACCTCGATGCGGTTGGTCCCGGTATCGGCCCAGTACAGGTTTTTACCCAGCCAGTCCACTGCCATGCCCTCAGGGTAGTCCAGCCCAAACTCCACTACATGCTCCAAGGCACTGCCGTTCATGAATGCCCGACTGATGGTCTGAAAATAAAAAAGCAAAAAAGTCCACAATAAAGCCAGCAATAAGGAAGCGACTCTTCATTCAATGTCTGCAGCACCAGAACGTGCTGACATGAGAGGACGGCCACTGTTCTAAACCAAGCCCCTAACAGACTCAAAGCAGATTTGAACAAATATTCAGTCGATTTTAATGTGTAAAGACGTGGGTCCTATTGCTCCCCGTCAAATGCACATTCATTTTGCCCAACACGTGGCAGGGAAGGCGGTATGTAGCCCTTTAGAAAAAAAAATATAAAAAACAGCAGAACTGTCTATTCTGGTGGAAAAACTGAAAACAAAAATAAGCCATCAATTATTTTCTAGGCAGAGTCTCTGGGGAGCCCATTATTCCTGACAGCTCGGCGCTGCGGGCGCACCGCTCCAGCAGTAAGGAGGCTGCTCTCACCTTCAGCGTGATGTCGGTCCAGTAGATGCGATTGTCCGTGACATCGAAATCCAAAGCGGAGGCTTCCTTCACTCCCGTGAGGGGGATGGCTACGTTGTTGTTGTTGGTTTCCAGGGAGATGCGGCGAATGTCAGTATGTCTCGAGAACAGCAGAAAGGCTTCGGGGACGATACAGGTGCTCATGTCACTGATGAGCTCCAGGCCAATGGGGCACGCACACTGCACGCCCTGGGGCTTGTACAAGCAGAGGTGGCTGCAGCCCCCGTTCTCATCAGCACAGGGGTTCGTACCTTGCAGGAAAGAGAAAACCATGTGAACTTTTAGTCGGCATCAGCCAATCAAAGCCTTTCTGCTCCCATTACCGAACCAAGGTCCTTTCATTTCTATTGTCTGTTGTATCTGTCCAATGCCTTATAAAATCCAGTATTAATAAGTCTTTTTTTATTTCACTTTAAAATCAAAAGGAAACTGCAGACATCTCTCCTCTTAAATTAACAAATTGATCTCAAAACCTCAGTGATTTTGTTATACACAGCCATCTGGTTTTCCTTTTGTACCTTTTTCTCCAAACTTCACTTATTTAAAGCACTTTTTGAATGTGAGCATAGAACTGCACAAAATGTGGAACAGCAATTAAGCTCTTAAATTGAAGTTGCCTCAGACACTCCAACACGTTTTCCCAATCATTCCTTTGGATAGGGGTCTATTTCGAAATCTGACAGCATTCAAATTTATCATAAGATATTTGCGGTAAGTGAATGATTCTCCACCTCACCTCCCTTCAGCCTGATCACACAGCTCTTTTCATCCATTACAACGCTTGAGAAAAAGTGCCTGTGACGCACGAAATGGGAGTGTAATGTGCGAGCTAACCAATGCTGAGAGCAATGGGCAGAAGACTCATCCTGAGTGAAACAGATTCTTACCTATGATTTGGTGTACATTTGTAGCCTTCAGGCCCATCAGATCCGGCAGCTGGTCAATGATGATCTCGCGTTCTGCGGTACGCTTGTGCACGCGTTCAATACTTCGCCGTTGCCAGTCTGTCCAGTAGATGAAGTCCCCCAGCAGTGTGAAGCCAAAGATGTGGGGGAGCTTGTCCTCCACTAGGATTCTGCGGCCAGTTGCATCCATGCTCATGACCTGCCACAGAGAAAGAAGGGGGCCTGTGTCAGAGCAAATGGCAATTTCAAAGAGTGACTATCACACATACTCCATTAAACCTGGAAGCGTCAGAATTAGAAAAGCAGCAGGTCAGTTACAGTCATTAAAAATATCATTTTTAAAGCCCTTCCAGTCTTAACACAGGATAAGTTATTTAGAATCCATCTATCCCAAAGCTAATTTACTCCTTTAGGCAATACAAGCAAAAAATCAGGGATTCTCTCCAATGGTTATAATAGTCTGTCAATCTATACTTCAGGAGGATAAAGGAAGAGTCCAGAATACACAGAGATTGAGTACAAAGCAAGCAGGCCATGTCCATGCATATGAATGGGATTTGGTCATGAAACTAGGTCTACCCATGTTATACCATGCTCTACTGGATAATAATATGTTACTGAATCAATACTATTGTGCAATACAGATAACTCGAGTTTCTGACTCCATTGAAAATTATATAGCGGGATTAAGCCTACAATGGGGGGTAAAGATTTAATTTTATGGAACAAAGGGAACACTACCATCTACTGGTTCACTAATGCTATTTTTAAAGAACCTCATTTTGATTGGTCTCCAGACCAAGTGCTGTACTCAGGTTTTGATTAGCTTCTGAAATTCAATGCTTTGCTCATGACTAAATCATTACCTGCATCATTTTCTGCATTTTTGTACAAATCTAACAGTTTTTATAAAAAAGACTAAGAAATGATTCATGCAAGTCATGAATAAAGTGCCACCATAGAGACAGCTGTTCTTTCTTGCAGACAACCTGCCCGATTGTTATAATGCGGGAAAGTAGAACATAAAGCAGCAGTACACTGTAAATGGATTTCAAGATGGCCTGAGAAATGCAAAAAGCACAGCAACCTGGCTATAGCTTACTGTGGCTCTAATAAAGAACATCTGTAAGAGCAAACAAACAAGGGCACATATGGCCACCACATTTACTCCAATCACAAATACACTTTGGAAACTTGAATCTTGAGAGCATGCATGCGCACTACACGAACAGGGGAGCTGCTGTAATTAAACTATTTACCATCTCCAAACTGATACACAGCACTTGTTGATACAATGTTCCCTTTACCCTCACCTAGCAGCGATTACCAGGGTAGGGTACTGTTCTTCCATACTTTCACTATGCGATAGTTTCCAAGGTCCAGCACCTTAGCTTGCTGGTCTATGGTCTTGGAATGGAAACAAAACACCCAAAAACAACTCAAATACAAAGGCTCATGGATGACTAATATTTTACAGAGCATATCTTTAACATATCATAAAAGAAATGGGTGGAGTAATAAAGCACTAGTTACCAACACCTCATATTGTTCTGAAGGCTGCATTTTAAGCAGTGATTGTCTGGCATTCTTTGGAAATCTTTGGAAAACAGTTTTTTCAACAATATAGTGCATTCTCACTAAAACCCAGAAGTAGCTTATGAAACTGACTACAGTGAACAGTCAGTAAAAAACATTTAAAATTTTCTAAACTAGACTGTCAAAACAAGCATAAATGCTGACCAACAATTGCTCAATCTAAAAAAAAAAACACTGCTCTTTATAAAACTAGCAAATAGTGAGGGGCGATCACTTTATAAGATGAACTTCGTGTACCTCATCAGGTGTGTCAAGAGACTCTTGGAGCAGACGTGTTCAATGAAAGCCTTTTGTTCAACAATCCTCTCCCTTTTCTTAGCTCCCAGCCACCAGAGCTGCCAATTCTATGGACTTCTGAAATTCTACACTCCAGAAAACTTGTTTTGTTTCCAGGAACTTTTCTGGCTTGCATTGCTGGCTGCCTTGTTTGCATTTTATTGTTTCCAGACTGCATAAATAGAATTTATCTAGAATCTGCACGACGTAACAGTTCCTTGTAAGTTACAAACAGATACTAGATGGCTACAAACATGAAGAAGCACAAAGTCTTCTTCAGTATCCATCTAGGACATTATTTTAAAGACCAGCACACAGAACAAAGAACAAAAACAATCAATTAATAATCATTAACAGCCACAGGTTTTTCAACTGATACTGCATGTGAAGTAGTCTGTAAAGAAACATCTTAGGGCAAACTCAGCAGCCAGTGCTGACTGGTCAACTTTCAGCTTTAAATGACTGCACAGGGAATTCACATTTTCTCAGGTCACTTGAGAGGCTTTAATCTATTTGTTAAATATATTAATCTCATGTGGTTTAAAACAATATACATATTAATAAAGTTTCCATCCTCAACCAAACAGTTTCAGCCAGAAGGTCTCCAATGGTTTGGGAGTTGTAACCACAATGTGGTGTGGGTTTCACATTCTGGGGCTATTCTAAACATTGAAAACCACAACTAGAGTACAGTCTACAACAGGAACCAGATGTGGGCTTTACCGCAAACACCACCTCACTGAGCTGTGAGACCCAGGGGCCTGTCCAGGCCTCCCCCTCCACAGTCTGTAGCGACAGGCTGCAGTCTCGCAGGTGGAGATGCAGCTGTAACCCCTTCACCACAGAACTTGCTGCACCGCTGAAGAAGTCTTCCAATACACCGACAGGGAGATAAGGGCATCGCTGACTCGCTCTGCCACAGCCTGCAGCAAACCAAGCAGTACTGACTGCAACAATCCAATAGCCGTAGTCACTGTAGTCACAACAGCTCACAGGCTCTCAGCCAAGTAGCACAAACAGAACACAATGAGTCAAGGAACTGGAGCGAATAAGGATATGTTTGGTATTGAACTTCCAGTGACAATCGCAAGAGAGATGTATGATAGATATTTGTCATGATAAAAAGAGACCCGGGGAAAAGTGAGCAGGCTTGAAGAACTCAAATGCTGCTACTTTCTGTAGAGTTATTATACATCAGGGTGTCTCCTCAGGTGTATACAGGCCAGACGTACCGCCTAGCTTAAACTTGGTGCTGCCAAGCCCAACAAATGCGTGTACGCCGACCACATTTTCACAAGAATCCACAATGTAAGACAGTTTTGTAGTAATATACCAGCCAGGAGCTGCAATGGCACATAAATCGCATAGCTCTCAAGTCTCATGCACCGAGAACGAATCTCATGGTCTCGCACCTTGGTTATCCTGCAGGAAATCTCATACACCATCACTAGAGTATCTGTACCTTCTACAGACGGTGGCTTTTATATGAACAATGACTGTAAATTGAATCAAAGCTGAAAAAAGGCTGAAACCTTTTTTCAGCCTAGAGAAAGCTAACAGTAGAAATTAAAAGTAAAAAGATTCATAAACCCCTTTACAGTCGTTTCACAATTTTAATGCCAATACTGAGCTAATTCTGTGATCTTGAGAACCAGAACTCTTCTTGATCCAGGCAGAACCGGGTTTCCCCAGGTGCTAGTTAAGATCAGTTCCCCTAGGTCGATGTACTGTAGAAAATCCTGTATTCTTGCTTTAGAATATATCATAAACAGGGTTCTGCACCAACACCAGTGCAAGAGTCAAACAAGGCCAATGTCACAGGGCTCCTCCCCTGTGGCTCAGTGAATAAGCTAGTCTCAGCCCTTCCACAGTAAAAAATCACAGATTTACAATGTAGTTGCAAGAAAAACAGCAAAGAGGGATTTTTGAATCACAGAACCTGAGTAGAGATTCGCTGCCATCTTTGAGCCCCAATGTCCCTTAAAACCAACTGTGTTATATACTAAACAAAAACCTTTTTACAAGATCATCTTCCTTCCCTTTCCTGGTCTGCTGCAGCTGTCATGAATCCTGCCACAGCAGTAAGAGCAGGGGTTATTCTGCATATTTCTAGAATTCTTCACCAAATACCATTGGGAGGCTGTGGGATGGAGTCCATCACAGGTGACTTGGGCAGATCTGCAGAAGCATTACCTCCTACAACAATTCCAGCTGTGGGGACGTTCTAGACATGCTCAGCAAAACAAAATCAAATATATCACACACTCTCTCCTGACGTACAATGTCAGAAGCTACAAGTTACTACTGTGATCTCTACGACAGTTACTACCAAGCCAAAAATAAAACCTTCAGAGAATTCTGAACATAAACTAATTTACTATGCGGCAGTGAACACATGTAGATTATTTTTCTTTCTACTCCTGGTTTAACACGCTATACCCCTCAAACAGTTTTTCACATAAAAATGAACCGCCCAACAGTGTGACTTCACCTCAAGATGAATTTCGATACCTGCACTGAAAAAGAGCCTCTGCAAATGTACAGTAATGGCCACCATTACATATAATACTCGGCATCTTCAATTCACCATCCTTAAAAAGAGGGAAACCAGACTTTTTACACTGCATTGCTCCTTTTTGTGACAAGAACTTATATTAAAATGTTTTATAAGAGGGCTCTGCAAGAGACATAAGGGCAGGAAATTTCAGGCTTTCAAAAAAAAAATCAAACCTACCCACAATTCCATAGGCAAATGAATATCTAGTGTAACTGCACCAAGGACAATCACATACAAATGGTAACACACTTAAAGGGCAAAACAAACCAGATTATAGAAGCTTTTTCTTAGTTTGTGATTACAGAAACGGATCCTAGCATCAGTTCTACTTAATTGTGATTAAGTAGCCACAGCCATAAGGAGGCGTGTTCCCACAGCAGGCCTTGGTCACAGTTCAAATGTGTGTTGGCATTTGGGAGAGTGAAAGAAAAACATGAATGTGGACTGACTATGACAAATTAAAAGGCTCCGAGTGGCACATTCATGTTCATGAAACAGCCAATGTTCACTTGAATAATGCATCTCGCAGGACAGCAACCCAGTGCAGAGGGACAACTTAAAAAATGAAAAGCAGCTTAAGCACAAAAGTACAGGAGAATCAGGGAGGTAACAGCCAGAAACACTGGGGCCGTTTTAGTATTTTAAGCAGGCAGCTTGCAAATGACCTGCAGGCTCTATGGAATCCCAAAGGATAAAATTATATGCCAAGATAAGCAAGACCCTGAATGTCATTCTACACATTTCATATCATTGAAAGCCAGTAATTTACTGTGATGTCTTTATTGCAGTTCATAAACTTGGCTTTTTTGGTTGCCAGCATATAGGTTCCAGTGGTCTCATGAGTAGAGAAAACTGCACGTTAAACAGTGCTTATTTCAGAAACGTTTCAAAATTTCACTTCATAAAACAGTTTTAAAAAACTGCACCTCTTTTGTGTGTGAGTGGTTCTCAAAATGAAAAAAATAAAAGCAGTTTTATTAGGTGCTGGTATTCCGCAAGGAATATTATGTACTTAAACAGGCTTAATATTCACAACTTATTACTTAAGTGAAAGCAGTACATACCAGACCCACTTGATATTGTACTGTTCTAGTATATGAAATGTAGAATCAGACTAATACATTTCATATAGAAAATAGTCTAACAATGAAGTTATTAAAAACAGTAAACTCAGCCTACGCATGCTGACGCAGCTACCCACCTGAACTCTAAACAATGCTGTATTTTGCAGTGAACTAGTAATATTAATTTAAGGAATTAACTAGAAAAAATCATCACTAAATGAATAATAGATGGGTAAAAATTCATGTTAAAAGCTGTACCACTCAGAAAAACATCATACCTTAAATGCTGGACTAATTTTAACACTGCAGTCCTATAGTGTTGAACATATTCACTTAAGTCCACAGTTGGTAATCAGAATTGGGTTAGGGGAACCAAAATTGATGATAAACCTACGAAAACCCCCCACCCCCC